CATATCTAAAATTGGCAAATTCGTAGAAACAGAACTGAGAAGGGTTGTTACCAGAGGCTGGGGAGAGGGGGAAAGAGGAGTTGTTTAATGAGTGTAGAGTTTCACATTTGCAAGATAAAGAAGTTCTGGAGATCCTCTTTCTCAATAATGTGAATATACTTAATACTACTGAACTATACACTTAAAAACGGTATAGGATGGTAAATTTTGTGTTCTGCGTTTTTTAATCACAATAAAGATGCATTTAATAATTTTTTAAAAAGAATAAATGCCTGAATTCCGCTATCCTATCTGAATGTGATTTGGCCCTGACACCTTGACTCAAGGCCTTTTTATTGCAGTCTTCTTCTTTATTGTTTTTTTTAAATCAACCTCAGCTTCTAACTGGAGGTAAGTTGAATTCCTTCCTCTGGGTATAAAAATTAGTCTAATGTTTGTAGCTAAGGGAATGCAGGTTTAGAGACTCATAAGTATGTTTACAAGATGTAAAAGAAAAAATTCATTGGTTATTTATGCATCTGTTGTTAGAAAGCTGTAGATTTCTGTCTATTTCCTGTAGAATTTCAAGTGCCGCATTAAATCACATCATTTAGTGCTAACAGGTACCCTCAGAATTACGTTGTATGTAGGGTTTAAAAAGAGAAAGTACATTTTCCCCTTTTTTATAGATGATTTTAAAATCCTTACAGGAACATTTATTAAATTCCCATTTACCAGCACTGGGTCTCATCAGTCTTAAAGATATATATTTTTTTCAATTTCCTTATATGCCCATTTCCTTTTGGCAATATCTTACTTTTCCTTTTTAAATTTGAAATTGAATATTAAAACAGAGGCAAAGGAGAGTACTACTTACACATAAACTCTTGAACTGCATTTTTATCATTTCCTCTGTGGAAAAAAACCTAATTGTATGAAATTGATAGCAACATTTTAGTATATCCTCAGGTCCCCTGGGAAGAGCAATGTGCTTAGACAGATGATCTGATTTTATGAGCACATAGCTGAAGTCTAGCAGTGTGCATTTGTCTTTATGCTCCTACTTTTTTCAGGGACTATGAAAACACATTTAGGCAGTAGTTTCGCTTTCCAACAATGGACTGCAAAGCCTTTGACAATACATAGCATTTGCATTGCTGTTGTTCATGATGCACATCAAAGTATAGACCACTTTCAGCAGAGAATCTTAATCTCAGTTTGTTAATAAGAAAACAGGAACCTTAGTATATGAACTCATTTTATTATCTACCCTCACTGAGGACTGTGATTTGGATTCCACTCAAATATGAATTAGTTTAAATGTTGCTCTGCTGCAACTGTCGAATTTATTCATTATGTTGTAATATTTTACTTATGAAACTGCATTTGGAAATCCTTTGGTATATATCAAGATGAAATTACAGTGCTCAGGGATATTGATTATTGCTTGTAATTGCCATCATAATAGCCAACAATTCTCTGTCTTTCTTTGTCTTTCTTCTACCTCTTAATGATATACCAAACCAAATCAATATCCAGCATATGGGGCCACTTACATTGTCTCAAAAATCCAATTGTTCTCCTTCATAAATATGCAAAGGATCGAAGATTTTAATCTCCAAACAGTGAATAAAAAAGCCCCATACTGCTAGATTTCTCTTCTATCCCATAGGGACATATCAGAGTGTTGCTGTATAGGATCAGTTATATGCAAGTGACATATTATCACCTCCAGTGTAACCACAAAGTTGTGGTGGGTAAATGGGGAGGCTTCTCCACTCTGCTGTTTGTAAAGTGCTGTACTTCTTCCTCAACTAGTAAATTAGATGGCCAAAGGGGAAAACATAGGCTGGGAGAGATAACCAGACATTAAAGAAGAAATCTACCTCCTTATGACATGGAGGTGATTATTTCAGGGACTAAAGAGGAAGTACAATCAAATGGAAGAAACGTAATGCTGTGAGTCACTTTTTCAATAAAATATGTTTACTCTTATTTCTACTACATACTGTTTGTCCATTCTGGGGATACGTTCAGTGCCTTTAGAAGCAGCAGTAACTCCTTTACAGTCTTAACGACTGAAGACTAGCTTCTTTCTAATGGTTCCCCCCATTCATTCAAAAAAGTTAAGATGGTCTTTACAACTTACTCTGAGAACATGTGACATACAGAAAAATCGATATGTATTATGAAGTACTGTTTGCATAGATTGTATTTGGTTATAGCCCTGGTCAGTTAACCCAGAAGATTAGATAGAACCTGGTGGTAATCTGGTGAAGACTGGTTGGCAGGTAGCACAGTGTAGTGGAAATACACTATTTTGCAAGTCCTCCATTCTAACTACATTGATATCATTAACTACTGATGTTTCTTTTAAATAATCCACTTTTATTCTCTGGGCCTCCATTTCCCTAACTGCAAAGTGAGGGAGTTGGGCTGCTAGCTGATTTCTATTCTAGCGAATAGATATTCTTTTACAGTGCAATTTGTAATGGTTGTATAGTATTCTACTGCGTGTTTATAAAATAATATACTTACCCAACTATCTATTAATGAGCATTTGGGTGTTTATCTTTTGCTGTTATAAATAACACTTCAATGAATGACTTTTTATATACATTGTCATACACATCATTTCCTAAGGATAAATTCCTATAGGCAAAATTTTTGGACAAGGAATATGCATATTTTAAGTCTTCTGTTACGTAATGCCAAATTATCTTCCAGAAAGGCTTGTGAATCTCCACTCCCCTCAGCAGTCCTGTCTTTTAAATAACTTTTATCCTCATATACTAAAGCAAAACTCTCTAATGTGGATATTTTCATTAACTGGCATGTTGACAGTTGTTTTTTCCTTTAAACATGTGTGCTTTTGTTCTTTAAAAATGGAAGCTAAAATCAGTCTTAAAATATTCTTAATGATTTATGCATTTGGGCATATGTGACATATACAAGGTGATGTTGGCTCTTTGCTCAGCGGAAGGGTCTTGTGATGTATTACATGAAAATGTGGCACCAGAATGTTTTTTGTTTAGCAGTGTATTTTACTGCCCCAGGCAGCATAGTAGAGTAGATTGAGGACTTTGGAGCTGGAATGGCTTGAGATCCCATTCTGGCTTTGTTATTCACTTCCTAGGTGGATTTAAGCAAGTTACTTAACCTCTTTCGGCCTCCATTTCCTTAAATGCACCATGCAGATAATAATGTAGCCTATTTCATATGAATGAATACTAACTGAGATAATGAGTGTTTAACACAATGCATGGCACTTAGTGCCCGATAAGGGTAAAGTATTGCACAAAAACATATTTTTATGCCAACTCCTTACATGTGAATAAATCACTACTGTTTATGAAATACCCCTATTACAATAGTCATGAGCTGTCAGTAATCATCCTCTAGTAATTCAAACATGACAGCAATATGAAGTTCCAGGACAGGCAAAAGTAATGTAGGGTAGAAAAAATGCAAAATAGTGGTTGCCTCTGGGGGTTAGGGAATAGGGATTTACTTCAAAAGGCAGGAGGGCACTTCCTGGGGTGATGGGAATGTTCTGTACCTTGATAGGGGTTTAGGTTGCACAGGTGATTGCATTTGTCAAGTCTCAGTAAATGTACACTTAAAATTTGTGCATTTCATTGTGTATAATTTTTTATATTTACATATAACAGTTTATAAGTTGAAGGTGTCCAACATGTTGATTTGGTACATTTATATATTGCACTACAGTTGCCATTTGTAGTGTTAGCTAACACCTCTGTCACATAATTATCATTTCTTTCTTGTGGTGGGAATAGTTAAGATCTACTGCCTCAGCAAGTTTGATATTTATTTTACATTATTATTGTCTATAATAATACTGTGCATTAGATCTCCAAGACTTATTTATCTGCTAGTTGCAAATTTGTAACCTTAAACATCTCCCTATCCCCCACCTCTCAGCTCCCGGTAACCAGCACTCTCCGCTTCATTTTAACAAGTTCATGGATGGACCTCGAGGATATTATGCTGTGAGATGAATCAGACAGAGAAAGACAAATACTGTATGATATCACTCATATGTGGAATCTAAAAAACTCAAACTCATCATGTATAAATTTTACATTAAAAATCTGTAAAAAAAATTACTGAACTCTAGATAATAATATGAAAATTGAAATATGTGAAGGGAAGTGTATGCAGCTTACTTTGAAATGCTTGAATAAAAAATGAAATGAAATGTTTTAAAAAAAGATGGGCTAAGATAGGAATGGAGAGGTGGATAAATATGTGATAGAGTGAATATAGTCATATGTTAAGTATAGAATCTAGTTGACAAGTACATCTGTGGTTTTGTTTTGTTTTTTTTTAATTTTTAAAATTGTTTATTTGATAACAGTCTTTTAAAATTTGAATCTAGCATTTCTAAGGCCAGTGCTGCTCAACTGGATACACACATCAAACTTACCTAGGACGTTTTATTAAAATATACATGCTTAGGACCTACTCCGGATTTACTGAATCTCTTTACTTGATATTCTCTTGAGTAGATGTGTGTTTATTATAAAATTCTTTCCTTTGGCTGTATGTTTGGCAATTATTATAATAAAATATTGGGTGAAAATATGTCTGTGAAAGCTGGTCTCTAAATAAAATACTGGTCTCTAGGCCATTCATATTATCAAAATGCTTGATGATACTTATCTTTCTCTTTTTGAGTATTATATTTAATGAAAGGGAGCAGTATAGTTAATACCATCAAATGTGGAATGTTAATGCTCAGAAGTTGAGAATTTCATTAGTCAACAAGTCAGGGAACAGAAGACCTCTTTCCTCCTCTTAAAAGTCTAAAATAGGAAAACAAAAAGGAGATCACCAATGGCACTTTGGAGTTAAGTGTTAGGGATAAGAAAATTTTGTTGAGTTCCTCCTAGCTGCCCTGTGCTTTGTCATAGCATGATTGTTTCAAATTAGTGGAATTTGTATTTCTGTAGCAAGTGGCTTTGGTTTCGATAGCCCAAACTTTTGTTTCCTTTCCGCAGGCATTTCCTGTTCAAACATGGATCTGGTTCCTCGGCCATCTTCAGTGCAGCCAGTCAGAACTACCCTCTGACATCCAATACTGTGTACTCGCCTCCTCCCAGGCCACTTCCTCGAAGCACCTTTTCCAGACCTGCCTTTACCTTCAACAAACCCTACAGGTGCTGCAATTGGAAGTGCACGGCCTTGAGCGCCACTGCAATCACAGTGACTTTGGCCTTGTTACTAGCCTATGTGATTGGTAAGCCCCTTTTTCCATGCTTCGCTTTTCTTCTTAATCCAAGTATTGTTTTGCTTGTGGTGGAGTTGGGAGCGGGGGGCGAGGGGGTTTCTCTCTCTACTCTGCGACCTACAAATTTGAACTAAGGCTTAGTATTATCAATAACAAATAGAGAGCTCTTTCCGTAGTGTAGTGGTTATCACGTTCACCTAATACGCGAAAGGTCCCTGGTTCGAAACCATAATTCAAAAAGAGTCATGTACCAAAATGTTCATTGCAGCTCTATTTACAATAGCTAGGAGATGGAAACAACCTAAGTGTCCATCATCGGATGAATGGATAAAGAAGATGTGGCACATATATACGACGGAATATTACTCAGCCATAAGAAGAAACGAAATTGAGCTATTTGTAATGAGGTGGATAGACCTAGAGTCTGTCATACAGAGTGAAGCAAGTCAGAAAGAGAAAGACAAATACCGTATGCTAACACATATATATGGAATCTAAGAAAAAAAATGTCATGAAGAACCTAGGGGTAAGACAGGAATAAAGACACAGACCTACTAGAGAATGGACTTGAGGATATGGGGAGGGGGTAGGGTAAGCTGTGACAAAGGGAGAGAGTGGTGTGGACATATATACACTACCAAACGTAAAATAGATAGCTAGTGGGAAGCAGCCGCATGGCACAGGGAGATCAGCTCGGTGCTTTGTGACCACCTAGAGGGGTGGGATAGGGAGGGTGGGAGGGAGGGAGACGCAAGAGGGAAGAGATATGGGAACGTATGTATATGTATAACTGATTCACTTTGTTATGAAGCAGAAACTAACACACCATTGTAAAGCAATTGTACTCCAATAAAGATGTAAAAAAAAAAAAAACAAATAGATTTCTAATTAGGTTATTTATTTATTTTTTGGTACTTCCTAACCTTAAATACTGCTGAGGAGCGTAAGGACTGCTCTTTGAGAAGAAATATTTATGCTACTAGCACAGTCTTATTGATTGCAATTACTGTAGTTAACCATTTCCCCGTCAATTAAAAGGTTGTTATGGTTTTCTCATTAGAAGTCATAAGTACCAATCTACAATAGCTTCTTAAATTATAGTTAAACAATAATACTGCTACCGAACTTTCAGGTAGCAATTTCATTAAAGTAGTAGTTACTTGGAAGCTATCGGAAAATCCAGGGCATAATCTCTTTCCAAGAATGCAGAGTTTTACACTGGGACTAAAAAAAAATGTCTTCTTATTTTCACTAGGTAAATGGCTACAGAATTGTGTGGTTACTGTGTTTGTGAAGGTAAAAGAGAAAACAGTAGTGAGGCACACTTTCCACTTTTAAGAAAAATGTTGTTCTTGAGGCATCTTGATTAAAGTCACCCTTACTTGATAGCAAATCGTATTGATTTTTCTGGCTGGCATTTTATTTTGACTGAACATTAATTTCCTTGTCTGAGTGGTTTTACAGTCTAAGATGTAAATTAACTTAAAAAACATGTATTTTGTGGAAGCACTTGTTCCTAGAAGAATAGCATATCATGGTAGAAAAAGAATTCTAAGTATGTCACTTGTATCTTCTTTTCAGGTTTAGCCTGATTTCTTAATTGAAAGGGAACTACCCACAAAGATACATTGAATATGATTCTGAGAGATAGATTAAAAAGGGATTTAGAGTTTCTTATAATTATAAAAAAGTAAGTTTTGTTGAGTCTGATTTATTAAAAAACGTGAACAATAAGAAATTTCCCGTAACCAGTTTTTATAAGAGTCACAGAACAAAGGGTAGTAAGTTAAATAAACAGATATATTTTGTAGTGGAGTCACTGATAATGTCAACAGTATAGGATCATAGCCTATATTGATGTTCATGATTATCTCTTTTCTATTTTCATCGTACAATCTGAATATGTTTGAACAATGCTTCTATTAAATGTGGATAATATTATCCTATAGTATCAAAAATGTGTCCTTTATCTCAGACATTTCAGGATAACCCAACATGTATGTTTATCTGTTTTGTAATAACATTTAATGAGGAATAGCGCTGAAGGAATGGAGGTTGGAGATGAGAAAGTACTGTAATATAAACAGGGTTTTAATATGGTATCATTCAAAGCAAGGAGTAATTTGAAAAGTTGAAATACATTAGAGGCCCTTTAAAATGTTATTGTTCAATTATGAGACCAACTCTTATCTTATAGGTTAGCTTCTATTAACTTTTACTATACAGAGAGATAATATTTTAGATTCAAGACTTTACCTCTGGAATAAACAAATCCAGGTATAGCAAGCTTCTTATATTTAATAGGTTTATACTGTGTTCAAACCTATGTTTCTATTTAAATTTATTATATGGCCACTCATATAAAAAATTGTATTATATACTCTGAGACTTGTTTAATTAGATTATGTTGATTCATTTCAGAAGCAAAAGTGGAGGGCTTCCCTGGTGGTCCAGTGGTTAAGACTCTGCGCTTCCACTGCAGGGGGCACGGGTTTGATCCATGGTCGGGGAAGTTCCACATGCCATGTGGCGCGGCCAGAAGAAGAAAAAAAAGTGAAAGCAGAATGTTTCAGTTATTTCAAGGACTGCCTTTTTTAATAGGGTAAACAATGGCATATAAATCTGATATGACAGTAAGGCCGTATAGTACAACGGTTATGAGCATGGATTTTTCAGACCTCTGCCACTTCTTAGGCATGTTACCTTGGGCAAATTATTCACCCTTTTAAGGCCTCCATGTCCTCATCTGTAAAACTGTCCTAAAACAGTACCTGTAACATAGGGTTGTCATAAGAATTAAATGAGTTAATATAACTAAAGAACTTGGAATAGGACTTAAAACACAGTAAGTATACTATAAATGTTAAATATTATTATTGTTGTTGTTACCATAACTACCTATATAATCATTATTCACTATTAAAATTCACTGGTTCTCAGAGTTAGCCATTTTATTCATGGCTGTACCCCAGCACCGAGAACAGTGCCTGGCACATAGCAACCCTGTCGGTAAAAGTTTATTGAAAAGAACGAATTATGCTAAGCACTCTACTTGTATTAGCTCATTGCATTATCAGAACAGTCCTTAAGGTAGCTATCAGTGTTAAATCTATTTTATAAGTGAGGAAACTGAGGCACAGCCAAGGTAAGAGATCACATAGAGGTCACAGCACTAAGAAGTAGGGATCCTGGGCTTTGAGCTTTAAGCCAGAGCGGCAGACTGACCCCAGAGGACATGCTGTTGAGTGCTAGGCCTTGCTGCCCTTCTAGCACTGCAGCAGAACTTACAGATCATTTACTTCTTGGTCTACTAAATAAATCCACCATTTTTTTTCTTATTAAATCACAAATTAAATTAGATTTACCAGGTCATCCATTGCAGTAGTTACTGCAACTGAGATTTGTGGATCAGTGAGAGATATCTGTTGAAATGCTTTTCTGTGTGACTTTGAAAATGCACAAGTATCATACTAAATACTAGCACAGTAGGTTGAGTGGGTTCAAAACGAGGGGATGTTGATGGCAAACACTGGAACTTTCTTCTGAGTTCTGTCATGGACTGGACATTATGTGACTTTGGATAATCAGTTAAAATCTCTTCCTCCACTTACCTCATCCATCACTGACCACCTCAGAAGGGCAGAGTAAGAATTCATAAAGAGGCATTCAAGTGAAAGATGTCGCATAAGAACTGTAACGTACAAGATGATTTTTAAATGGCTTTCTGTGGTTGAAATTAAAAAGTATTATATTTCAAAATATGAAACCATTTCACTCTCAACTCTTGCTGAGTCTATAAGAGTCATCTGGTTTTTTTTCAATCCCCCTTTGCAGTTTCTGTATAACCCAAGTAAGATCTTTCACTGAAACTATTTACCGCTTCTGTTTCCCGTGCCAATTTCTTTCTGCTATTTCATGTTCCTCTATTATCCATTATACATAACCTTTAGACACGAATGGCTATAGGCTGTGCTGCCCTCAATCCACTACGGGAAATCACATCAATATCAATGGGACATCAGTAGATGTTCTGTGCATTATGGCTCTGTAAGTGGTCATTGGAAAGCAGTGGAAATCCAACAAGTGAAAAGTCAGAGCTGGATTATTCGGGCAACCAGCCCCATCCCCACTCCTACCCACTATACCTTTTGGGTCAGCAAGTAAATAATTTCTTTGAGTAAGTTTTGAGGTCATAAAATTCAGTGAAGGGAGGCATGGAAAGATACTGATTATATGAAGATATTATGGAATGGCTATTGTCATCACTTACCCATAAATGTAATATTTTGCATCTGAATCAAAAAATATGTCCTTACGCTTCATCCTCTCTGATATTTTGGCATCAGTGATGTATCAGTGCCAGTCAGAAGCACATTTGCTTGAATTTACAAATAAGCCATATGAAGCAGTAGTCAGGAAGACAGATGACCATTTGCAAGGCATCAAGAGGAGGCGAGGTTAAGGTGCTTCATCAATGGTTGTGAAGGGCACAAACTCGGCTTCTCTGGTAATCTTTGATGTTTTGATCAAGTTTCTCCACAGTCAGCAGTTTGTATAAGAGGCAGTAGAAACTCATGAGAATACATTGTGCCTGGGGTCAAATGGACTGTTGCATTGAATGACTTGGGGAGTAGGGATTTCTGTCTCTCAAACCCAATATCATCAGTTAATGATATCAATGTTCTTTTTCTTTTGCCATGAAATTAGTAGGGATTCATACCACCTTCAGGGGACGCAGGTAGTGTCCAAACTCTACAGATGAAATAATTTAAGTCCATGAATCTCCTTGCCGTGACATACTATATAGCCCACATGTAGAAAATTGACCAGAATGGTTGTTAATACAGAATTAGGAGAGATAGAATATTGAGCCCAATTCTGTGATTGAAAGTTTAGGGATGAAACCATTCGAGAGGGCAAAGGGCCTACTGTACCTTGCTCTCTGCATCAAAATTGAGTAACAGTGATTTTAGTGCTTTCTTCTGCCTCCTTTATACTAGTCCAAATTG